GCGGGCCCCCGGGGGGGGGGGGCCGGCCCCGCCGCGGGGCCGCTACCCCGCGTGCCTTTCCGCCTCTCGGCTCGGGCCGGGACAGACAGGGTTAACGCCAGAGCGCGCCGGGCGGCCGCGTGGTGCAGGCGTCGAGCGCAGCGTGCGCATGCGCGCCGTGGGAAGCGCGCAGGCGCAATGGGCCGGGCGACGTGGCCCACCGCGCCCGGAAGTAGCCTGTGGAGAGCCGCCGCCGACTACGCTGCGAGCAGTGCTCGGCCCCGAGCTGCTGCGCCGCGTCCTCCGGCATCACTATGTTGAAGAAATTCGACAAGAAGGACGAGGAGTCGGGTGAGGGCACCCTCGCACGCTCTCCCGCGGGCAGGCCCGGCCCCGGCAGCCTCGGATAGCGGCTGGGCGTTTTTTTGGGGGCGGGCTCCTCCCGCTCCCAGCCCCGGAGTGTCCGCCGCCCCCGCGCCCCCGGGTTCCCGCTTCCCCGGGTTCCCCGCGTCCCCGAGTCCCTGCCGCTGGAGTGAGAGGTCGCCCTTCCCTGCCCTCTGCGCAGTGTGCGACGCCACTCCGCCTCCCGACCTCGCGCCAAAGGCTGGGAAGGGTAGGGTGACCGTGACACCGCCCAAGACGCGGGGACGTGGGGGCCATCCCGGGGCCTGCAGGGACATGTCGTTCTGAGCTGAGAGCCGTGCGGTCCGAGTCGCGCTCTGTACTCACACCCTGCTGTTCTTGGTCGCAGGTGGAGGCTCCAACCCTTTCCAGCACTTGGAGAAGAGCGCCGTTCTCCAGGAGGCAAGTGCCCAGCCCACACGCCCACCATCGTCCTGACGGGCCCAGGGCTGGAGGGGATGCAGAAGCCCCACGTGTGGTCCCCGTGCAGCTGCGTTCGCAAGTAGCTGCGGGTCGGTGGAGCACTTCCTGGTGGCTGTTAGGTTGGCTCAGGGGTTGCTAGCCTGCGTGGGGGAGGACGGAAACCGTCCGGTCCTTGGTCCCTCTGGCCGACCCTTAGCTAGTCCCGCAGCCTCATGCATTGCTCCTGCGGCTCACGGACCTTGAACACTGAGGGTAGTTGCAAAAGGGAAGAACGGTCAGGAGCTGACACCTTGCTGGTTTCTTTTAGGCCCGTGTGTTTAATGAGACCCCCATAAACCCTCGAAAATGTGCCCACATCCTCACCAAGATTCTGTACCTCATAAACCAGGTAATGGGGTGAGGCCCGGGCCAGGGGATTGGTGTGGGGGGCTGGGAGAGCTCTCCCTTGGGCTGTGGTTGGAGCCCTGCTGGGTCCTGGGTGCTGTGAGCATCCGTGCTCTTCGGCTGCCCTGCGTGAGTCTCTGCAGTCGGAGGGTCTGGCCTGGCTGACCTGGTGCGACAGCCACATGGCTCTCTGTCCCAAGCGCCATCCTTCCTGATCACCACAGGGGGAGCACCTGGGAACCACCGAAGCCACGGAGGCCTTCTTTGCCATGACCAAGCTCTTCCAGTCCAACGATGTGAGTGCTCTGACCCCACCTTTCTTCCGGAGGGGCAGCTGCCCACCAGCCAGTGTGGGCTGCCCCTAGCTCTGGCCCCATCTCTGACCCCATCTCTTCCCAGCCCACACTCCGTCGGATGTGCTACTTGACCATCAAGGAGATGTCCTGCATCGCAGAGGATGTCATCATTGTCACCAGCAGGTCCTTGGGCTGTGGGCGGCTCCTCGGGTGGGCTCTACTTTCCTGAGGACTTCAGTGAGCACTGGGAAGGGGACCAGAAGAGCAGACAGTGGTGCAGGTGTGCTCTGCAGGCAGGCGTGCGAGGTGTCGGGTGCCAGCTTTGCATGAGGCCACGTGCTTCAGGGACAGTTGTGACAGTGTAGTCCTTGCCCGTAAGAACTGAGGTTCCGTTATTTCTTCCTGCCACATTTTGGATGGTGGGATCCTGACGTGGATCTCAGACCAATCTTGAGAGGCTCCTAGGAGGGTGCAGCAGAGGGTCACAGAGGAGAGACCCTGTCCGAAATACTGTTATTGGGCCAGCCAGTGGCGTGGTGGTGAAGGCAGCTGGGTTCCACATGGCTGACTGTGGTTTCAGTCCTGGACCCAGTAGCTTGAAAAACACACCAGTGTAAGTGTGCACACCCAAAGTCCTGAGAGGAAAGTGGAGGTGGAGAGGGCCTAGCCTGCAGCCTAGTGGGTAAGGGAACTGAATCCCACGTGGCTAACCCAGTTTGAGTTCTGACCCTGGTGGCCTGAAAACCTTGTCAGGCGCATGTGCCTATGTGCCCCAAATCCTGACAGGATGGAGAAATGGAAGAACAGAAATTATGATGTGACTGCATTCCACTGAGAAGTATGTTCTCTGTTTTTTTTGTTGTTGTTGTTTGGAGAGGTTTTTTGCCATAGGGCACTTGGGCGCTCGCCAGACAGACAGAGACAGAGAGACAGAAAGCGAGAAATCACCCCCAGGGAGGATGGCCACGCCACAATCCCTTCTCCTCCATTCTCCACTCGGGATCTTGGGCACGCACGCACACGTGCCTGGTGTGAGTTTAAGCCACCAGGTCCGGGACTCGAACCGCGGTCGACTACATGGGAGTCCAGCAACATAGCTATTACGCTAACTGCTGGTCCCAGAAGTATGTTCTCTTTGTCTCTCTCTCTCCTTCCTCTCTCTGGTGAGTGCAAGTGCCCTCTGGCAATTGAAGAAGAGAGAAGGCAAGACAGAGGTCGGGGTGAGGGGTGGTTCAGGCTGAGGAGAGAGCACGGGCCATGGCCTGGAGAGCAGAGAGCCGGGTCTGTCGGGGGACTTCTCCGTTAAGGACTTTGTTTGAGGCTGACAGTAGTTGGAAGCCACAGGAACGGTAAGGTAAGAGCAGGGGGTCTGGTCAACTTGGAGTTTGTAAAGACCCCTCCAGCTGCTGTGTGCAGTTGGGCTCAGAGGACAGGGACAGGCCAGGTAGGAGACTCATTTAGTAACATGGGTGAGCAAGTGATGGAGCCGGGGTTGGGGTGGGGGAGCGGACAGGTACAGGCTCCCTGCATGCCGACAGCCCCTTTTCCCCACAGCCTGACGAAAGACATGACCGGGAAGGAAGACAACTACCGGGGCCCGGCCGTGCGAGCCCTCTGCCAGATCACTGACGTGAGTCATGGGCCTGTCTAAGGCTCTTGTCCTGGTCCTTTGGGTGCTCGAGGCTGCCTTCCATCCCCCTAAGCCAGGTGGCGTGAGAGCCGCGTGCACGAGCACGTAGGAAGCTCCGTTTGCCATCTCATCCCCTGCATCCTATTTCCGTTGCTCTTGGTGCTGAGACCTGACCGGTCCGCCTGTCCCTCTCCCCTGCTCCACAGAGCACCATGCTGCAGGCTATTGAGCGCTACATGAAGCAGGCCATTGTGGACAAGGTGCCCAGCGTCTCCAGCTCTGCCCTGGTGTCCTCCCTGGTGTGTAGTTAGAGCTGGGATCCTGCAGGGGTGGGTGGGAACTGGAAGGAGATCTCAGAGACTCATTTCACCAGGAAGGAAAAAAGTGTGTCTGTATCCCCGAGTCTTCAGAGTCCTACCCATCTTCTCAGTGGAGAGACCAAGGGCTTTCTGGGCCCGGTGACAAACTGAAAAGGAGGGCCCAGGGGACAACCAGCTCACCCCATGGGGTGATACACTGTTGGTCTTGGGTCTGGGGCAGTGAGGATGGAGAGGGGCTGCCCTGAGTCTCTCTGCAGTCTCAGGACCAGCACAGTGGTGAGACCCGGTGCTGTGAGGGAAGGCGTGGCCCGGCCAGGGAGGTGTGACAGAGCAGCACCTTCCTGCCTGGCCTGACGTGCCCCGTTGCCTACAGCACCTCCTGAAGTGCAGCTTCGACGTGGTCAAGCGCTGGGTTAATGAGGCTCAGGAGGCGGCATCCAGCGATAACATCATGGTCCAGGTGAGACGTGAGCGGAGACCAGTGCTTAAGATACATGGGGGCCAGGCGGTGCGGCCATGAAGCGCCACCTCTGAGGCCCCTGGCTCCAGAAGAGAGCCCTCAGAGTCACCAGGCACATAGGGGCCCGTTCCTGGGGCTGGGCTGGACCTTGTCCAGGCCCTGTGGGGTTGTTCTCTCTGCATGTATATGTGTGTCTGTCTCTCGTTCATAGAAGAAATGAACAGACTTGAAAAAACAATTGTGTTAAAATTCCAAGGCAAGGCTGACCCTACGGCACGGTAGTTAAGTGCTGTGTGTTGGAAGCTGGATTCCACGTGACTGACTATGGTTTGAATCCCACCCTGGCAGCTTGAGAAACACGCTGGGCCTGAGAAACACGCTGGGCCTGAGAAACACGCCCAAAATCCTGACAGGATGGAGAGGTGGAGGGGAAGGGTTTGCATTGCGTCCACATCCCAGGGGAGTGCTTTCTGTCTGTGTCTCCCTTTCCCTCTCTCTGGGGAGTGCTTGAGCCCTCTGTCAAGGACAGTAAGAAGAAACGTTTAAATACACACACACACTCTTAGGCAGGGGTGTGGACTGGCTAGTCAGAGTAGACATCACCAGGAAGCCCCTGGTGGGCGGGGCTGTCGTGGGCTTTCATCTCTGTCACTGGGCTGTGGGGAGACTTGGAGCGTTGTGAGAAGAACCCTAGGCGTACTTGGGGGGCATGGGTTAGAGACTGCTGGTGCTGGGTCATGTGGGGGTTGGACGGCTCGGGAGGTGTGTGCAGCGTGCGATGCTGTGGCAGACCTCGCCCCACAGGCAGAGGGCCCTGGGAGCTCAGGCTCGCCTGAGGCTGGCTTTGTTAGTGACAATGTAGAACTCTCTGGGTGGGTCCCCCTCTCAGTGACCGAGGCCAGGTGTTTTTGTCCTTTCTGTGTCTTGGTTTCCTTATCTCAATGGGAATGAAGACTCTTGCCCCAGGGAGCTGTGCAGGTTAAATGAGATGGCATCTGTAGCCGCCAACCCACCTGGTTCATACCTGTCAGTCCATCCCCTATGCACATCTGTTCCTCATTCCCTGTTACGGTTATTACCCTGAGGCTTCTTTACTTCATGAGAGAGAGACAAGCACCCTCGCCAGTGTTTCTCGCCGCACTCCTCCCCCAGCCAAGCCAGGGTCCGGGCATGTGTGCGTCTGGCACATGCAGGTTGTCCCTGGAGTGAAACCCCAGTCTCCCGTGTGTCCTCCTGCAGAACTCATGCTACCCTGGCTGGGCTGTTCCCTCCTTTCCTGTCTTTCTCTGCCCCTTCGCGTGATTATCTTCTTTGGAGCCAGCTGTGGCCTCTCGGTACACTTTCCAAGGGTCAGAGACACTCCCACGTTGCAGGCATGTGGCTGACACATAGCCCACTCGTGCTGCTGTTAGGGAACCGCAGAGAGCATCGAGGACAGGCCGTTCTCCCCGGTGCATGCATCTTCCGGGGGAGGTCCAGGACTTTGGGTACTCGGACTCAGCTTTGCCAGCATCATCCCTGAGCCCTGGGGCCAGTCACTAGTTTGAGGTCAGCGACCCTCAGTGTGGTTGGTACTTGTGCCCTGGGTGTCTCCTGCAGCACATGACATCACAGGCCAGGGTCTAGGGCTGGCTCCTTACCATCTCTTTCTGCAGGACCCTGGGTCTCCCTGCCTGTCTTTACGGTGTTGATCAGGGCCCTTGCTGGGGTAGTGCAGGAGTGGGGACTGCGGATGTCCTGTCCTCGTGAGTGGGGCATGTGTCGGGACTGCACGTGCAGAGGGTCTGGGCAGTCATCACACTGCCTGCTCCCAGTGTGGTGGCCACCCCGGTGCTCATACGAAGACCCACAGGGCCCTACGCCAGTCCCAGGGAGTCACGGCTGGGTCTTGCTGTCTCCTGCCCTGCAGTACCACGCGCTCGGGCTCCTGTACCACGTGCGCAAGAGCGACCGGCTGGCCGTCAGTAAGATGGTCAGCAAGTTCACGCGACACGGCCTCAAGTCGCCCTTTGCCTACTGCATGATGATCCGGGTGGCCAGCAAGCAGCTGGAGGAGGAGGACGGCAGGTAGTGCGACCCTCGCAGCCGGGGATGCCTGCTCACCTTCCCAAGTGGAGCGCCTCCAGCTTCTTTCCTTCCGTGTCTTGTAGCCGGGACAGCCCGCTGTTCGACTTCATCGAGAGCTGCCTGCGCAACAAGCACGAGATGGTGGTGTACGAGGCGGCCTCCGCCATTGTCAACCTGCCAGGCTGCAGCGCCAAGGAGCTGGCCCCGGCTGTGTCAGGTCTCCCAGCTCTGTCACTCGGCCTTGCGCTTGTGCCTGCGGGAACTGGGCTGGGGGGAGCAGTGCAGGGCAGGTGGTTCAGGGTTCCTCCGCAAGGGCACGGCAGGCCGGGTTTGAATCCTGGCTCTGCCCTTTCCCAGCTGGGCCAGCCCTCCACTCCCTCGCCCCTCTGAGATGTGGAGGTGCCCACTCCACGACACAGGCCACGGCAGGCGGAAAGCACGGTGATCCGTTCTGAGCGTGGGGTGAGCCTGACGCATCGTGCACGCAGCTTTGGGGTCCATTTGCTGCAGCTGGGGAGGCCGTCCAGTGGCCCTGAGCGCCAGTGCCTCACTGCAGCCCTGAGCTGTTGCGGCCTTGCTCCCAGGGCCGGAGTCTGTGCCAGGCTGCCGGGGTGCTCAGCCTGGACTCCGCGTGGGAGACGGGAGAGTGCTCCAGGCAGGACGGAGAGCTGAGAGTGCATGTGCCCACTTGGGTCTTCATTCATTTTGTCTGTTTGAAGGTTACTATTTTTTGTTATTTCGTGTGCACTTGCCAGAGAGAAAACATCTACCTGTGGGGTGTGATCGTACTGGGATCCTTCTCACTCCATCAGATTTTGAGCGTTTATACACATGCCCGGTGTGTTTTTTAAGCCACAGGGGCCCAAGCCAGGACTAACTGGCCGTGTGTTACCTGGCCCCTGCCACCGTGCCTGGAGCCAGCCCAGTGTCCCACATTCTCACTGTGTTGCCTGTATGTCCAGGACAGTGAGAGACCTCAGTAAAGTAGCCTTTGGGCCAGCAGGTGGCTTCTCCCTGGTACCTGCTTCTCCTGAAAGGGATGGTGGTCAGGTGGTCAGGTGGTTGATTTCCATATGGCTGAGCACAGTTTCAGTCCTGACCTAACGTGCAAGCAGGAGAAGGGGTGCAGCACGCTCATCCCTGGGGAGTGACTCCCCCCCCCCC